TATGTCATCTGGAAAGTTCTGCTTCTGCTGTTTTTTTATGTTGATGGTGATGATGATAAATGAAATGAATCTTTAGAAAACATCATAAAATTTCAGTAATCATATAATTCATGATCTATCACGTTTACTTAATTAGTTATTTCTTATATTAACACTATCTTTAAGTGTGAACAGGCAATAAAATTGTGGGAAAAAGGAATGATTAAAACAACCACCAATTTTAGTTTGCGATCTAAAAGAAAAACTAACTAAAAGTAATAGATTGCATAGTACATCATTATTAAAATTTCTTTGAATCACATTAAGCACTATTTTGCTGTATCACATTTTTGCCATCTCTAAATAGCTGGAAAAATTATTTTCTAAAAAAAAAAAAAAAAAAGAGTTTATGCAGGGGTGAAAGTTATTGAGATGCTGTTTGACAATCTCCAAAGAAGTGAATTTCAGCTGTTCAGAAAATTTTAAAGTGCTCTGAAGAGGGAAAAGTCTAAGAGAACAAAATATAGTAAATTGGGAATGAAACATAAGTATGATTTCTGATGTTCATCAAAATCTGAGGCTAAGCATTATCATGATGATTTTGTGCCTTGACAGTTGGTAAGCTCTGGATGCTTTGCTTTGATTTCTGATTTTCAAACTGCCATTTGGGAACAGTATTTTCCAAATTTGTTTTCTAATTTGGTTGCAACAACTCCTGATACACAATTCCTTTATAATCATACCATGTATAAAGCATTATTTTTTTCAATGCATTGGATGTTAAAAGGGATTAACGAATGATTCCATATCGAAATTCGAGTCTGCATATTCTGCTCTGCTTAAGTACAAAGTGCTGATACATCATAGTAACTTACATACCCAGTCTTCTTCATATGATTTGTATTGTACTTTTGGGAATATTTAGTCTGTCTGAAAGTGTATAGTGTGAATCTTCAGTGATAGCTTCTTTTAATAGGTATTTATTTACAGAGCGTGGTCGTTTAGAGTGGACGCCTTCTTCCAGGCTATTTCGAGGCTTCTAAAATTACCTTCACACTGTGTCATCAAAAACAGCAGTTCATTCATATGTAGGATAAATTTCAAAAGCAGTTTGACTAGTAGTTTTTTCTTTTTAAAAATGAGAGCTTAATATGGTGAAAAATAACTTTGAAGTTTCCCATTCTTAACATTGTAATGAAACAAAAATTATTCCACTATACAGGCTAGAATTAAAAAACATGAACAGAAAAGACCTTATTTAAACATATACGTTGATCAAGGTCCAGTAACAAGATAATTAGAAAAAAACGTGCTTTGATTTGAAAATCAAAGAACTTTCCAAATGACCCAATATTACTTTCAGTGCATTCATCACTTCTGTAAGATTTAATAAGATGCACTCTAAAAAATAGGTACACTTTGCACAGAAAAAAAAAAAAAAAAAAAAATGGGGGAACAGTTCTATATCTATTCTACTGGACTGATTGTCGAAATTGAACGTCCGTTTTTCATACCTCAAAAGCCAACATAGGATATATGTTAGATTTATATATAGCATTGGTATTTCGACACCAATTGGCATTGATATTATGTTAGATTTTTATATGGCATTAGGTATTTTGACACAAAATCGGACTTTTTCTGACATGACATAACAATTTGTTTCCATATTTCAATTCTACGACTCAAATGATGCCATGTTTTGTAAAAATCACATGAGTAGTTTTTAAAAAATTAGCTCTCAAAATTTTAGCTCCTCCATGTTAATTGAATTTGGTATATATTTATTAATATCTCTTTTTTTATTAAACTTATTTGATTCTTCCTTTTTTATTTTGAAATTTAGGTTCATTCCAAATAAAATTCACCCATTTTGTATGATTTATTTTTAAATAGTTTATCTAAATTTTTCAAAAAAAATTTGAATTATAAACTGTAAAATTTGTACCATCATCTTAAAGTGTTTCTAAACATACCGGCAAAAAATTAAAGTTATGTATTCAAAATTTCCAAAGGTGTACATGAATTTATATAATGGTGCATTTTGAAGTTGGCATATTAGTTATAAGCAATAAGCCACCCAGTCGGTATAGTGGTCAGGGAAGCTGACTGCGATGCCGAAGAGCCTGGGTTCGAATCCCAGAGAAGGCATGGTTGTAACTGTCCGTCCCTTCATAGGAAAGGCGATGGTGGCCCACCTATTAGGTGCCTCCATAATAAAGAGACCACCACATCTGTCCTTGTATAGATAAATGGACTGGGTTACATTTGTAATTGTTCACAATCTGCCATTGGAAAAAAAAAAATGTTATAAGCAATAATGACGCAAATGTGATTTAGGCACTTATTAAAATTATTTGAAAGTAGGAACAATGACTTTTTCCCACTCATATACAATAGAAAAAAAAAAAGAAAAGGAAAATAGGTTGCTTTAAATTAAGACATTGGCCAAGTTGGCCTTTCTTGGTAAAAACTGAAAAAAAATGTGCCAATATAAATTTTTATATTTCTCCATAAATTTCTCACCAAAAATTACAAAATTTAAGATCTAGGCACAATTTGAGTCTTAAAATCGAAAAATGGGAAAAAATTGTTATGTTATTTCAGAAAAGTCGGATTTTGTGTCAAAATACTTAGAACAATGCTATAGATAAGTGTAATATATATTCTAAGTTGCACTTTCGAGTCATGTGTTAGAGTAGAGAAAACTGTACCCCTTGTTTTATTGTGAAGTTGTTGCTTCATTTATCGCCAAGTTGTTTCATTTATGGTAGCCTGAGTAGTTGAATGTTATGGAAATCCTGGAACTACTCTGATATGCGCCCTCAAGTCGCCAAATATTTTTGGCGAGAAACTCTACGCTGCCATTTTACTATCTAAATTTTTTCTCTACATTTCGAACTTTAAGCCTAAAATGTCTCCAAAACGTGATTTTCGCACATGCAAAAACTATGTTTTAAACACACAATTTAAGCTAAAAATCCGAAACAAAAAAAAAAAAAAATTAGGTAGCAAAAATGTAAAGTTTCTAACCAAAAATATTTGACAAGAATCCATGTATACAGCGATATGTTTTAACTTAAAAAAACACCTACGAATGGCAAAATTTAGGCAACGAACAGATCTGCGAACTACGCACACATCGCTTTAATAAATTAACATAACAAATTTCAAAGAATACCATGTACACTGCATCCTGTTTAAACTTAAAAAAATCTACGAATTGCGCAATCTAGGCAACAAACGAATCTACGAACTACGCACACCTCACTTTAATAAATTAACATAACAACAGTAAATTTCAAAGAATACCATGTACACAGCGTTCTGTTTCAACTTTAAAAAACATCTACGAATTGCACGATCTAGACACTACGCACTAATCAACAAAATAAACTAAAATAAATTTCAAACAATTAGAAAAAAAGCAATAATGACAGAAATTCATACTGAAAACAATGAGCATAACATTCTACAAAATAAGAGTAAAGTAAAATGCACTTACCATGAATTAATGCTTTTTCGAACAGCTGAAATACCAAGTTCATGCCGCCGCGTAATCACTATCGTATTTATATGACAGCGAGACACACTATCCAGAAAATTCATACTATGGTCACAAATAAATAAAATCACAAATAATCACAAATACCTACTTCTATCATGCACAGCCACTAAAAATAATCTCCGAGACCCTCTTTTTACACCTCCAAATACCCACTGCCCATCAACAGGATGGCCACATTGATATTTCTTTTTGCCGAACTTCAATTCAACAAGTTCCACCATTTTATCTTTTCCCCCTATCTTCTCAGACACAGACGTGAACCAACGAGCATGACGCGAACAACAGGCTCCAGCAAAAGATTTTTCAACGTCAACAGGGTTGCCATACAACACGCAATCGCGCCAAAAACCAGCACAGAACACATATTGCCACATTTGGTGAAATTAGGGCGTACATCAGAGTTGTACCAAAATCCTATTATGATGTAATCGGTTGCATTATTGCGGTAAATTCGTAAAGGCTTGTGTGTGTGTTGGTTAGAAAGTGTATTGCTTGTTTTATGGTTTAGATGGTAAAATGGCTGAATGTGGTAAGATTAGTTTGAAGTTTCTGTATGATTTGGAAAGAAAGTTTAAAAGAGCATTACTCGACTGGTGTTTAAATGAAGTTTTACTTAGTAGCCATTATTAAATGTCCTGTTTGTAGGAAGGAAATGCGTATGGTCAGACGGATAAATGGCACTACGGAGGATATTTTTTACTCTGATTTTGTGAATTTATGTGCCGACACCAGTATACAGATTCTAGTTCAGATAATTTTAGGAATTTTGTTTGACTGAAAACATGTTAATTTGTAAATAAGGTAAGTAGATATTTCCTTTGTTTAGTGCAAAGGTGAATTTCCTTTTTTATGTTATTTCATTGCTTGATTCAAAATGTAGTTTATTGAGTTTATATATTTTTTTGTTGGCTGCTCCTTTAACTTTTTAAGTGAATATAGTTCGATATGTATACATGGACAAATTCAAGGGAGTGCGCAATGGCTAGTTTGTGCAATTCTCTGATTTTTTTTAAGTGAAAATAGGTCAATATGTACATGGTTAAAGTCAAGGGAGTATGCAGTGCCAAGTTTGTGCAATTCTCTTATGTTTTTTTAAGTGAAAATAGGTTGTTGTGTACATGGATACCGAGTTTGTGAAATTCTTTGTCTTGTTATTTTGGCTTTGTGTAGCTACACAAGACAAAATAAAGAATTGCACAAACTCGGTATCCATGAACCACCTATTTTCGCCAAGGTGTACCTGTAAATATATTTTTACCAAGTCATGGAAAATGCAAGATAAATTTCGACAATGGGTCCAGTAAAATGGGAGAAATAGAATTGTCCCTCCTTTTTTTGCAAGGTGTACATCTATATAGGAAACAAATCTGTCTTGTAATGAAATATTTTTAAAATTAATTTTTAGTAGCTATTCATTTTTCTTTCATGTTATAACTATTTTGCTTTTTTATAGGTTCTGATTCTTTAGTAACTTTCGAGGAGATTCTGAATATTGCTGTTGAAAAAAATGTTGATTTTATACTTTTTGGTGGTGACTTGTTCCATGAAAATAAGCCTTCACGTAAAGTCTTACATAGCTGTCTAACACTACTTAGGAAGTACTGCATGGGAGATCGACCAATACAGTTTGAATTCCTAAGTGACCAGTCAGAGAACTTCAAGCATAGTGCATTTCCTGTGGTCAACTATGAAGATCCAAATCTTAACATAGCTATACCAATATTCTCTATACACGGAAATCATGATGACCCAGCTGGCTCTGGGTGTTTTTGCTCTTTGGATTTATTAAGTGCCTGTGGTTTAGTAAACTATTTTGGAAAATGTACAGATTTAGAAAATATTAATATTTGTCCCTTAATGTTGCAGAAGGGTAAAACTAAACTATGTTTGTATGGTCTAGGATCCATCAGAGATGAACGTTTGCATAGAATGTTCCTTGATGGAAAGGTATCTATGCTAAGACCTAGAGAAAAATGTGATGAATGGTTCAATGTAATGGTTTTGCATCAAAACCGAGCAAAGCATGGAGCAAAGAATTACATTCCAGAACAATTCCTAGATAATTTTCTTGACCTCATAGTATGGGGACATGAACATGAATGCCGTATCGATCAAGAATGGAATGGCGAGCAGGCATTTTATGTAACACAACCTGGCAGTTCGGTGGCTACATCTTTATGCCATGGTGAAGCGGTACCAAAACATGTTGGCATTTTACAGGTAATGTAGATTTTGATATTTGTATGCTTTGTTTCAGTGAATATGTATCATGTTTTATTTGCTTTTCATATTTATTCATGTAATGTGACATACTGTGTCATTTTTAACACTTTAAATCATATTTATTATTTTCATTGTGCAAAATGTAAAAATGTTATCATAAAATAGTAAGCATTTTTATTCACCTTGCAGAAAATATAGTACTTTCTGATTATCTGCATCCACAACAAAAAGTTGCAAACTCATTGCTGACTAAATTTTCACCAAGCTAATGCACAAAAGGATACAGCCATTTTCAAAATGGCAGCACACCAAGAATTTCATACAAGAGCACTCAATTAATATAATTGAATAAACAGGAAACATTGGTAAAAAAGTGCTTACTTCTTCTGAGAAATCTTCTTTTTTACACTTTTATTATCTACAAATACATAGTGATCTGTTTGAACTTAAAAAAGATCAGATAATTGCACAAACTAAGCATCTCACAACTTCGACATTCTTTGCATCAGCCAAAATAAATATATGCTAAGCACATACCTAGCTTGCCACATAAATACTTTTCCCCACACTGTGTGTTACCACATAACTATTTTGGCAACATATTGCTTTGCCTCGCAAATGCTTTTTCACAACTTTTCTGTGGGCATGTGCATAATCACTTAAACAAGATTAGATAATTTCACAAACTCGACATTGTACAACTTTGACATTGCGCACCGGCATATACTATGTGCATTACCTGACTTGCAACATAAACACTTTTCCCCACACTGTGTGTTGCCACATAACTATTTTGGCAACGTATTGCTTTGCCTAGCTAATGCTTTTTCACAACTTTTCTGTAGGCATGTGTATAATCACTTATGATATATGATAATTGCACAAACTCAGCACTTATGGTCAGATAATTGCATAAATATGGCATCGTACAACTTTGACATTGCACACTGATAAAAGCAAATATATGCTATGCACATAACTGGCTTGCCATGTAAATACTTTTTCTGACATTGTTATGGTACCATGTAACTATTTTGGTAACATACTACTTTGCCTCATGAATGCGTTTTCACAACATTTCTGTGGGAGTGCGGATAATCAGAAAGCCCCCAAAATATTTAGCACTCTTCTGTTATCGGAACCGGATTCAGAAATGTATGCCCAAGAAGCAGCATTGCTGGAAAAATAATCGTATATAAATATTTGAAAAAATATTACAGAGTTTTAGTATATAAATTCAACTGCTCATTTCGGGGTCACAGTCCTTTCTTCTCATAACATAATTATTAGCTGAAGCATCATTTTAGTGTTGCATTAGCATAAGAATATAACTTCATCTTTGGTTATTTGAACAAAGTTTTTCACTATGAATAATTCCTTTTACTTGAAAGAATTATTATTGACTTTCATCTTTTGGCAATTGCTGATTTGTAAAATTCATCTTTGTTCCTTCGTCAAAAGTCCTGTGAATCAGAATCTCACACAAACGCATTTCTGTTGTACAGACATTAGAAGTTTTTTTTTTTTTTTTTTTTTTTTTTTTAAATTTTAAAGTAGGAGAGATGAAGAAATGAGCAATCCCTTCGCTGGGACTCGAACCACGGACCTCTCGAATGTGTACCGAGAGTGCTGGCCGTTACACCACGAAGGCATGCTTAGAAGGCAATAGAAATGCCTTATATTGTATTGAAAATTATTAGTCTCCCTAATTTGGTACAACTCGTGGTGTGTAGTTGCTATTATTGGTATCACTACTATATTTGCAGACATTTTTGGCTGCTGTCGAGTTTAGAGTACCACAATTTCTTTTAATGTTCGACTCTGCTGTTTCAAAGACCTATTTTAATTGTATGATTTTCTGGGTTACCCTGCGATTCATCCTTAAACTAAGAGGTTTACCATGAATATTTAGCTTAAAACTTACAACTGTGTATCATATAGTTTTTCTGAAAAATTGCAACCTGCATATAGTAATGACTTATAAATATCTTAATATGTTGAACTGTTTTTGTAGCTTAATACTTGCAGTTTTGCTATATCCTGGCATTAAATTATTGGTACTGTGATCAACCTATGACAGTTATTGGCGACTAATTTTTCATCAACCTAACATATGAAAAACATTAACCATTTTAAAAAATAGTGGTGCGCTGAAACATGCATAATAGTCAACTTCCTTTCTTCTCAGACTTCTGCTCATGTGCACAGTGATCTGTTTTAATTAAAAAGAATTGTATTGAATTGCAGAATTCTTTGCATCCACATAGCAACTTGGCACTGCCCTCCATGTAAGCATTAATCTGTTTTAACTTTTAAAAAAATAGAGAATTGCACAAATGGACTTCCTGAATGTGCATTCCTATATTCTCTGCTACTAGGCACACCTTTTTCATATCCTCTTTACTAGGCAAAAATATTCTCTACTACTAGGCAAAAATGCAACACCTTTTCCATTTGCAAGCAAACTCCACAATGGCATTATGATTTATTACAAGAGGAAAAGTCTCCATGCACTAATCATAATAAGCAGAAACCATGTGCATAATGCGTGCGCACCCATAAGTAGGTTGCCATATACATTTTCGGTACTTCTTCGTTATAGCGGCCCCCCGACTATACTTGGCAATTTTATATTTGTGCCAAGGTCTCAGTTATTTTGCCAAGTCCATGGACCGTGAAAGTAAAAATAAACAACACAATATGCAATAACAATAATACTTGCATGTCATTTCATAAGAATATTTTTAAGAATCCTTATCCTTATTATTTTATCGCATGTATTTGTTCCAGTCAACTGTAGCACTTTCACACATATTAAGCTGTTTGTTACACCATTTCATGGACGTCAGCTCATCACTGCTATGCTGCTATCAACTTATAAATTCAAGTAGGACTGCAATAAGTTGAATTCTAATGTCCTTATATAAAAATATTCATAAGCCTACCTAAAATACCAACCTTACACTGTGAACTGTGCCAAATATTGTGACTCTCTGTTTGGATTAGACATGTTTTTCATGAAAATTTTGGCAAAGGAACCAAGATCAATTTTCATGATTAAGCATTTGCCAAATAATGAAGTGTCTCCCATTGAATTATTCCAGGGAAAAGAATTAAACGTAATGAGAGACTTTATCCAAAGATCCATGATTATATTATTGAGCAATGATGGGTCTTAATTATATCATTAGGGTTGCCGCCATTATTTGCAGTTGCATTTTTATACCAATATTTGCGTTTGATTACGACTGCATCAAACTTGATAAGTATCTGAATTTTTAAATTCTGTTATGGTTGGAATTAAAAATAGTATTTTTACTTCAGATAGAATTGGCAGGTTGTGAATAAAGTCATGATTTTCCTGTGGGTATTATTAGTGAAAAAAATGACTTTAGAATATCAAAATTTTGTGACTGATGTGTAAATAATAACTATAATTTGGGGGGAGAAGGAGTCAAATTAAAATATTCTAAAATTTTAATGCAAACTTTTGTAAATTGATGTTTGAAGAAAGTAAAAAATTCATTTTTTGTGTGATTTTTATCCCCAGTTCATTTTTGTATAAAATTAAACTGCTAAAATACCTCACATAGTCTGAGCAATCAGGTTTGCCTGTATCCTAGACTTCTGAATCTTGACTAATAAAGAGCTAAATACCTGTAAAAAATTAAAATTGGTTCTAAAAAGGTGTAGTCTATTTTTCCATAAGTAAAACATATTTCCTGTGTATCACAATAATAGCAGCAAGTGAATATTTAAACAAGAATTATTGGCAAATACAGCTGTAAGTTATGTTGTAGTGCAAAATTGCAATTCCGATCAATGTTTCATGACATTTGTTTGACACGTCTTTCAATTTTTAGGTCAACATAATTATTAAGCATTATAACTATTTTTCTAATTTCATCTGCTGATCGAATTCATTTGTTTTACTTCAGTTGAATATCAATCCATTGTAAAAGTAAGATGGGGGGAAAAAAAAAAAAAAAAAGAGAGAGAGTTTTCAGGCAAAGATCAAGTTGCAGTCATCCAGTTTTTGGAGCATCAAAAGAAAAATGAAAAGTTGCTGAAAAATGCAAGTACATTAGCTGCAAAATAATTTAATGCAATAGAATGGCCATATCAAGAATTTGGAAACATGGTTCCAAAAATAATTGTCAAGATGAATTTTATGCTAATGTTGATGCTTTGAAAAAAAAAAAAAAAAAACTGTGGATGTAAATGCAAAGATTATGAAACAAAACTTGAAAAGCATAGACATATTCTTCTTAGAAGATGCACTATAGAATGTCCTATATAGTGAATAGTCTTTGATATCTCCCAAAATATTGGGACTTCAACAAATAAATTGATGTCACTTCAACAAGTTTTGCTAGAAACAATGAAGGATGACAACTCCAATAATTAAGCTCATCCATGTAGAGAAAACAAAGTTTCAGAGGCATCCTGCCTATAAATGTAAAATGCAGTGGCGAAATTATTGAAAAATCCACAAACTACTTAACATTTAAAATAAAAATTAGGAATAATACAGGGTGTTCATATTTTATTTACGGGATGAAGATATGTTTAAATAATACAGAATATAGATAGGGAAATAAGACTGACTGAATTTTAACGCTTCAAATAATTTTATATTAATACATTTTTACATGAGCACCATTTGTTACTCGGAGAATATAAAGTCTGTTTTTGAATTCCACCCAGATGTTATTAAACATTTGTGGAGTCGCAGTAGCTGTTTCTGTGATGATTTGATTTTTTAGTACTTTCATACTGTGAATCTCTGCAGCATAAAGTTAATTCTTCAGGTATCAACAGAAAAAGAAGTCGAATGGTGTGATGTCCTAAGAATAAAGTGGTTATGAAATTGTCAAGCTCTAACAATCCAACAATCTTGGCATGTTTTATCAAGGAATGCATACATGTATAGCCTAATAACAGTGGGCCTCATCCTGTTGGGAAAACATGCTTGGCTGCATTTCTTTTAATTGTAACGAAAACAATCTCAACATGTTGAAGTAATCATCTAAATTAGTTTATGACTCTGAGAAAAGAAGGAACCAGTTACTTTTTATGTGTTAGTGTGCATCAAACGTTAACTTCAGGGCTATCTTGCTCAATTTCGCTCACAAAATTCCGAGTTTTTCTGACACCTAAATACTGCATTTAAGTTGACCTTTTCTAAAACATGAAATGTTGCTTTGTCACTGAATATGATTTTAATTAAGAAATTTACTATCATTAATGATATGGTCAAGAATCTCTTCAGAAAATTCCTTATGAATGACTTGATCATTAGATTTGATTTATTGACAAATCTGCAATTTTTATGTAGTCAGTTTCAACCGTTCATGAGCAATTTTATGAGCAGTTGATCTGAAATTTCTGTTTGCAGGCTGGCATGGCAAATAGACTATATGCAAACACGTCTCGAATACCAGAAACATTTCTATCACTGAATACTTGGCCTACCTGCACTTCCTTTGTGCAAAGTATGTCCAGTCTCCTGAAACTGTTTTTACTCTCTTTTAATTAATTTTTAGGGAAGGTTTATTAAATCAATGTTGGAATTACCTTGAATTGCTTTTGGAGATTTCATTTCCCATAAGCATGGAAAATAGATTGCTTTTTCAATACATAACATGATTCTGTCTGCAAATAAACAAGCTCTTTTTAAATTAGAGCAAATGAAATTTCTTGGTCTGAAGAGATTATATTGATATAAGTTATTTCCTGTTACTTCGTAAAATTATTTTTGAATTTAATTTTGTTATCCCGTGATCAAATTATGGATACTCTGTGTTTTTAATTAATTGCTTAATTTAAGCTAATTTTTTAATAAGAAATGTGTCTATATTTATTTTCTTTTGTTACTTTTATTATGGGATAAATTAAATTGATCAACTGCTACTGTTACTATGGGGCAGAGGGAGTATTTATAAATTCAAATGTCTTTGTTGCAAATAATTTTTTAAAAATACATGTTTTTCATGATTCATTTTTTATTCTCTAAAAATTGCATTCTTAATATGTGCATGTGTTTCATCTTTTTTTTTTTTTTTTTCCAAACATTCAATGGAGCAGTGAATTGCATAGTTTATCACTGTAAGGCTATGTTTAATATTGGAATCCACTTTTATAAAATGCTCTGACAAGGTTTTAACCATTCTATTAAATTTGTATAGTTGTTTAGACATTTTCATGTAATCAATTTTTATTAGTAACTATTATTCTCCCATCATTCATCTATATTAATAAGTATTTCATTGTCATCTTAGTATTTGATTTGATGCTCTTGTTCACGTTGTTGGATTTTAACTCGTTGTAACCAAGTCGTTTTCCAATTTCTACTATATTGTCCGTCACTTTAGCAAAATGAGTTTCAGATACACTGAAAACATTTGCAAAACTTGTGATATGTTTCCGTTCTGCCCTCGTTTTGTTTGACACTAATTTATGCCATGCTTTTCCTATATTTTTGGCAATGTTTCTGATGTTGTAGCTTTTCCAAAATTCCATTAAAGTAGGTTTCTTTTTCTCTTATTGTAGCTTTCACAGCTTATGAATAAGTGCAGCAAAATATTAAAATACATATTGCATCATATGGCTTTAAAACAACATAAAAGTAATATTGTACAAAAAGAGAGTTGATATGAAAAATTAGTTAAAATACTTTGGGTTGATGAAACAGATGGGCCATTCGCGAAAGCTCCTCTACATTTTTATTTATGTTAAAATGTGATTCCAGTTTATCAGTGTAAAGTATTTTATTTCGTTTTGAACTTCATCTGAATTGCATGCGCCATTTAATTTTTAAAGAGGGAGAAACTGAAAATTTGCTTATTAAAAAAGTAATTTGCATACTCATTTTTTTAGAATTTGTTTATATTTTACTCAGTAAAGCTTTAGCTTGTTTTGAAATTTCCATATCAGATTATGTGAGGCATTGCTGTATATTTAATATTCTTTTTTGTATAAAAAGCTTAAAAAATTGTTCTGTGTACTTGTTTTGAGTTAATTTTTAATCATTATTCTTTCTTTTTATCATTATTAAAATTAAAAAATTTTATTTTATAGTCTGATATCTCCAGTCTTCTCGCACATTATCTGGTCTCACACTACATAATTTTTTTGCTGTAATAGATTATTTAATGTATCAGTGTAATTATTTATTAATTTTCAATTAATTGGTACTACTTATTATGCCATTTGATCATATTAAAATCCTTAATTTTGTTATTTCATATTCAAGTATTATTTAAAATGCATTTCTTTCTGATAGGTTCGAGGCAAAGAATTTCAAATTACTAAAATTCCACTACAAACAGTCCGTCAATTCTATATCAAAGATGTTGACTTAGAAGATATCAGCTTGAATTTAAATGAACCTGATAGCTGTGAAAAAGTGATGGATTATTGCAGAGAACTAGTAGACCAGTTTCTCCAAAAAGCTGAAGAGGAACATACAGGTTACTAAAAAAATTTTTTTTTCTTAAAAATTTGAAGAAAGAGATATTAGCATTATCTTAAAATTTTCAAATGACCTATAATGAAGAAGAAAAATAACCCTGTGAGATACAAAGCTCTGCATTGGAGATAAGACTTTAAGGTTTTGCAATTATTGCAGCTGTGTTACAAAAAGAGGAAAGAAAGCTATGGCCAGTATGGCAGACGTAACAGTCCATTTAACCTGCAAACACTATGACTATTTATTCATAATTTTAATATTAAGATATATACTTCATCTTTCAGGTCATTATATTTCTTGGCCACTATTTTCTAGGCCATAAGTGTGAATAATTAGTTTTATTTAGGTATCAAAATTAATTCTCAATTAATTTTTATTTTAAATAAAGAATTGGTTAAAATTTATGTACTTAAAATAAAAATTATTATTTCACAGAAATAAGTAATTTGTAATGCTGTTATGTTTATTGCTTTATTTATTCTGTTATTTGTCAAAAATTAGATTAAGTTCTTATGAAATCAAAAATTAGATTAAGTTCTTATTAGATTAAGCTATACAGTAACTTCATTTTGTTGGTGTTTAAAAATTATAAGTCTATAACTTTTAACTTTTAATGAGCAACAAAATGATGTAAAGTGTGTAAATTAAATGCATTTTTCAAACCTATGCAAGTCAAATGCGTTTTCATAATTTATTAGTGTTGTATAAAATATTTCATTTTGTTTATTTTATTGCAGGAAATTCTAAACAGCCAACTCAACCTCTTATACGTTTACGTGTATTTTATCCGTCTAATTTTGATACCTTTAGCGTGCAGCGCTTTGGTCATAGTTATGTTTCCAAAGTAGCCAATAGTAAAGACATTATATTGTTTAGCAGAAAAAAAGCTGAACGAGCAAAAGCTGCAGAAATAGACTCTGATATGCTGAAAACAATTTTGAAACAAGAAGGATTTGATAAGAAAAGAGTTGAAGATTTAGTGAAAAAGTATTTTGAACAGACAGATGAAAATAAGCGACTTTTAGTTCTTTCAGAAGTTGGTGTGAGTTTTGCTGTGCAAGAATATGTAGAGAAAGAAGTTAAGGAAGCAATAGTTTCTCTTGTGGAACATCAGGCTAAGAAAACTGAAACTTACTTAAAACAAAATGTTGAAGACAGTTCTGTGATAGATGAAGAACTTCTGAAATTTAGAGAAGAAAGGCGGAAGAACTCTGAAAAAGAGTCATCAGAGTTTCAGTCTGTAATAAAATCAACAGGTAGTAGGACTCAGCATAATTCAAGTGATATTGATGATGACCTTATGAATGATGAAACTGTTGAAATTCCAGTTGCTAAGACTAGAGGTCGAGGTAGAGGGCGTGGGAGCCGAGGTGGCAGGGGAGCTAGCACTTCTACGAGAGCAAATACTTCAACCAGAAGAAACACCCGTACAGCTGCACCAAAAGCAGATGTACAAGAAAATGGTGGAAAGCGTAGAAGAACTACAGCTTCAAGTAGAAATGCCAGTCGACAAACTGACCTAAGTAGTTATTTTCATAATGGAACTAATGATTGTGTGGACATATCTGATGATGATTCTGATGACCAAGAAGGTAAGCGTCGTAAAACTGCTCCTAAACGTATTGTAAGCAGAAGAGGTGTGATTTTTGACCTTTCAGATTAAAATATGCAGAATTTTCAATATAAGAAATAAATAAACTGTGGTTTTGTGAATCTTGACTAATTATTATCTAAAATCCTAATGAAAAAAATTAATGATTATAACTAATAATTATAAGTATGTTAAATTTTATTGTTATATAGAGTTTTTGCACATAGTCTTGTTGTGTATATGTATATATGTCAAGGATTAAAAAAAAAAGTATTACATTTTTATGATAGCTTAGCTCAGAAAGTTAACGATATATGCAGATTTTATATGTAGGTGCATATTAGGTTATTTCTAAATAAAGAAACAGATTTTACTTTCTTGAAAAATTTTCCTTTCTTGTGATAAGCACAGTAGTTTTATAAATGAGTAAGAAAAAGAATGCCTTGTGGTCACTGACCAGTTTTGCCTTTTCTTATCTAGCTAAACAACGGAAACTTCATGGCCTGGGATTTATGTAAACTTGTTTAACACCAAACCGATTTTGCTGCCTGTTCCTAAGAAACAACTCTGGTTAACAGTTTTGCAACTGAATGTTTACTCAAACGTTTCTTGAGAAAAGTTTACCAGACACAATGCAATAGCACATATAAGTAGTACATAACTAAATAAGGACAGTATTATATATATTTTTTATTCCAAATTAACAATTAATCCCATTTTAAATATATATATTCTCAGATGCAGTTGAATTTCAGAAAAATGAAGTTATGACTTCTGGACATGGATTCTCATATACTGATCTTATAAGAATATGCGGCAGTTTATTTTAACATACTGTAAATTGCTGAAAAGTGTTAAAATAAGGGGGGAGAGTATTTCATAGTTTCAGTGTAGAATGTAGTCAGGCTTTTGTTTAGCTGTTGTATAAAAAAAAACTTCTTGTTTTGGCATTTATTAACATTTTCTCTATGTTTTGTTATTTAATCTTTAAATCTGTTAAAAAATAGTCTAAATCTTAAACATATATATATATATATATGCATTGAAACAGGTATAATTATGTAGTAATGTTAATTGCATAGATACTGTGATGTTGATCCATAATAAAGAGCAAACTAGACAAGCGTCTACGGAGAGAAGGCAACTTTTGGGATCATGAATCTGATCCTCCCGTCTTACGCGCATCTCAGTTTGCGCATCATGTGACGTTAACAGATACGTCAAAAATGTGTCTGTTTACATTTTGCATTTGACTTCGTGCGTTTTATGCTTCGTTAGTATGTGAATTTTGCTTTCACATATTTATAATGAACTGAAGAATCTCTCAATAAAAGACCCTTCTCACGGCCAAATACTTAGGAATATTGTGAGGATTCTGCTTCAGAATATTAGAATATATAGCACCAATTTAAATGAGCTGGGTGGTGATATCAATGATCATTCAAGACAATAGATCTGAAATTCACATTTCCGCTTTGATTACGATTGGTAACATCTTTCAGAAAACTGTAATTTCAAAATCTTACAACTGTTCTATTTGCAAAAAGTGTTTTTCAAATGCCAGCAATTTATAGCATCATTTGAAGAACATACATTCCAATAAAAAGCATATTTCTACTGCTGAAATATTTAATTCCAATTCAGATCATGCATTTTATAAAGTCGTCAATGGTAATTCGATTTCATATACTTTTGCTTCAAAATCCAGTATAACGTCAAAAAAGTTTTAGCTGCCCTGATTCCAAAAAAATGTTTCTCAAGTAACAATCTAAAATGTCACTGCATGAAATTGCATATATCACAACAAACAACATTACTCAAAGCAAGTAAAAATAAAGTTTTCCAATTTAAATGCAGTTTATATAGTCGTCAGTTCAACAATAATAAAAATTTATTATTTTCACAATCAGATAGTGCATTTACTGCCCTTGAGTGTTCATCATTAAAAAATTATATAAATGCACATTATGTAATGAAGGTTTTCCAAAGGAAAACTTTTCATTACATTTGCAAATGGAACATGAAATAGTCATTGAAAAAGAAGAGAGAGATTTCTCTGTGTTTAATGATTTCATGTTGTGAAAGGAGAATTTTGAAATGGAAACATAATCTAAATTTTTTTAATTTACAAAGCAACATGACCAATTACATGTAAAAGATATTTATTTTATATGCCATCATTCAAGACATCATATATCTAAAGTGCAAGGTATGCGACATTTAAAAATACAAGGGAGTAACGAAATTAATGCTTATTGCCCTACAAAAGTAAGCCAGTTTAATAATGAAAAATGTACTGCTTATATAGAAAAACTCGTTGTGGGTCATAGAAAGGGTATAGAGCATCTGTCTCTTACAAAATTAGAACGGCATTAATTTATGTAACTTAAATTGCTGGAAAAGTATCTTTTGATGAAATTTTAGATAAAATTCAAGATTCTGTATATGATACTGCATCTTTTGACAAAGAATGATTTATGGAATATTGAAAATTCGGTACTCTTCCGTTATCAGAACCAGAATCAGAAATGTATGCATGTATGGCTGGATGGATGTGTTCATGTATGCATATATATGTGTACATATGAATGTATACATTTCTGAATCTGGTCCCAGTAACAGAAGTGTACCGAAAATTCTTATAATCCACAATCAAATGCTGTAAGGCATAAAAATGATTGTATAAATGTTAATGAAATGCCTGGGGTTAATGAAATTACTAGTGAGGATAACAACTCTATTTTTATTTTATAAGCCTTAAAATAGAATTTTAGAAAGTTATCCTGAATTTTAAAATGATGATTTCACATTAATGAAAATGAATGACTCCCAGAGGCACTTTCTTCAGAAGTTGGGATCAGACTATATATGTATAAATGGTACACATAGGTTGAACGGTTACAGAATTGAATTAATCACACTGCTTTTACTTGATGCTTTGCTTCACGGCTTTCCCTGTGCATTTATTATTACAAACAGAACTGAGCAGGAAGTTTTGTCTGTTTTCTTTGCACATCTGAAAGATAAAGTATGTCAGTTAACACCCGAAGTATTTATGAATATGAATACAAGCTAGTTTTGGCTCACCAGCGGCCGAACGGTAAAGTCACTGAACGCTGGTAGTTTGGTCCGAGGTTCAAGTCCCTCAAACGGGCTGTCTGCATGGGCATTTCCATGTTTTTCCCCATGTGTAATGTGTATACAAGCCAGTTTCCCTTAGAATGTCCTCCACAAAGGCATCCCTCCCCTTAGGCAGATGGCCATCAAGTGCTTTGCCATAATAAAATAAACCAAACCAACAAACTAGTTTTGATTAAAAAGTCTTCCATGAAGGTATTTCTTCCGCCACATGATCTTTGCCATATTCCAGTTCCAACAATCAAATCAACACATTGTTATTTAACTACTTAATTTGAAGATTTTTGGGCCCACCAGCGGCCGAGCGAGCGATAAAGTCGCTGAACACTAGTAGTTCGGTCTGAAGTTCGAATCCCGTGAACGGGCTGGCTGCATGGGCGTTTTCGTGGTTTTCCCCATGTGTAATGTGTATAGGAGCCAGTTTTCCATAGAAAGTCCTCCACGAAGGCATCCCTCCTCTTAGGCAGATAGCCCTCGAGGCTTTGCCATAATCACACGCACACATTTTGAAGATTTTATAGCAGATTATGAAATATACAATATTATATTGATGCAAAAATATATTTTTTACTCAATTCTGGAGGAGGGGGCAAGTGTTCATTTTCCCGTTTCCTGCAGATTCCTACAGTCTAGCATTTTCAAACCTAAAACATGATAACCCTAAGTAACATATCACCATCATTGGTACGCATTAGAGCAAACAGATCACTAGAATTTGCATATCTTCTATGTCTATTTGCTTCAATATTAAATCAAAGTCTGTAATAGTTAATGTGAAAGGCTTGAAATAAAGCAGTATGCATGATTGTTTAGAGCTCATATTAGCAATATCATTATTGTTTAGAGCCTGTTCTCTGGAAGTAATTTACAGACTTGCTGGGAATTTTATTAAAAAATGATATACTTTTCTGTAGTTGCTGCATAAAAAGTAAAAGCCGTGTGTTGGCCATCCCTGGTGTAGGACGGTAAGGATAAAAATTGCCTTTCTCTCGACATGTTGCAATGCAGTGAATATAACTGAGCTTTAACTTCAAATATCTTGAGTTATACTTTGTGCAGCAAATGAATGACATATGTGTTATCCCTGTTTCATTCTTACTTTTACGCAATTCTAGTGCAGAACGTAGCTTGAGAGTTATACACCAGAAATATGAAATACTTGTCAGCTGGACTAACACCACAGATTTACACCAGTGGACAGGGCCGTCCCTAGGCCATTGGCTGCCTGTGTACTTTCCTAAGAATACAGTGCCCAAATTTAAAAAAAAAAATTCTTAATGATTAGTTGAATTTTTATTTCATACTCACTAAGTACTTATATGTGACAAATTGTATAAAAAGTATTTACATGTGACAAGTACGAATTTAATGAAATTAAAATATTTAGTCGTGGTATCGCGAGTGTTCAGCTGTTGCATAATTTTACAGCTGCACCGCGCTAGGAACGGCCCCGACAGTGGAAGATAACCATGTTCAAATCATGACAAAATTACTTTGGCAACAACACAATCAACTGGCTATTAAATTGCTGGTGAAGGTTACTTATCAAGTTCCTATAATTAATAAATATCCTTATTCAGGACTTAATTTCTAAACTTAGAAGTGCCAGAACCCTATGCTAAACTGTCAGCAAAGGGAAGTCAAAAGTAAATAAATAAATAAAATGACTGTTACAATCATTAATAATTTAAAAATTAAATAGTTAATTAATACCAAATTAATTCATTATTATTTAATTAATATTAATAATTATCAATTATTTTTAATTGATTGTTATTTAATTAAATTATTATTAAAAAAGCTAAATTATTAAAGTAATTTAAAATTAAGTAAAATGTAAAGAGATAAATTAAAATTTAATAAGCGATTTGTAATACAGTTTTTACTGCAAAAAATAAAATTTTTGAAATTCAATTTTTGTTCAGTTGCATAAAAGAAGTGCCGGAGCCTTTTTATTTATGCCTCCGGCTATATTTATGATTTA